GGGGGGTGGGAGCAAAATTGAGCCTGGGGGGTGAAGACTCAAGTTTAGTGAGGTAGGAGGACCCACCATGGTTGGGTCCGGCAGAAAAGAAAGTTTTTGAAATTATACCTTGTAGAAGGGCTAAAAAGCATCTCCCAGACTAAAATCTAGCAAAATATTAAACTGCTTAGGAAAAACAATTTGACGGTTCTCGGAAAAAACTGATATTGTCTATTGGGGAAAATTGGGGAGGGGAGGTTTCATGCTGAGAATATAGTGATAGACGTTTGGGTAAAAAAGAAACGGTGACCTTTTGTTTCAGATTGCACATCGATGTGAATGACAGGGGAAGATGTTGTATTGACTGAGAGAATTTTATTTCCTGAATAGAAATGTACACTTTTATGTCTCGAGAAGACCATGTTTACACATCCAAAGTGAAGACATTGCATTGGTACAGAAAGTGATTTACTGAATTAATGAAAATAAAAGAAAAAAGATAGAAACACACGTGAATAAGTTAGTAATTCGATCAAACAATATATATTCTCTTTTTATTTCATACACTGTTTTAAAAATTAATAGAAAAAACGGTTAAAAAAATTCTTATCTGGACCAAAGTGGGGGTCTTCAGCCCTATTGCCCCCCAGTGACGCCATGCCTATCATGAAAATAATCTACAACTTAAATTAATTTTATGGGCTCAACCTTGCCCTCATAAACATCTGCATCACCATTGCATTCATTTGCTATGACTGAGCTTTTCCTGACATACCTGTTCCGTTCTCTAGAATGCAATGTCAGGAAGGGAAGCTCATCGCAAATATGATATTTCAATTTCAAAACTTCAAACGGCCCTTCATGAACTTCAGAGAGGTAGCCTTTCTGCCCTCAATAAAATTATCCATGGCGCCCTGCAAAATCTTCGATTGCCCTGCAAAATTGACTATTTTTGAGATTCCCGGGATTTTCGCCCCTGGCTGGGGCCGCTGGAGAAACTCAAGAAAATTAGTAGATGCATAGTTTTTCTTACACAGTTTGAAGTTGTTCTGAGAATTTTTTCACGTACCAGTGACTGCGTAATATACCTCAGTCAAATTTAGGGTATCATAGAGTAGAAAAATAGCAATGCGTCTTACTGAGATTTGCCGGTTCCTTGATGAATGTATATGAAAATGAAATTAATGAAAATAAAAGGAAAATGATAGAAACATACGTGAATAAGTTAGTAATTCGATCAAACAATATATATTCTCTTTTTATTTTATACACTGTTTTAAAAATTAATAGAAAAAACGGTTAAAAAAATTCTTATCTGGACCAAAGTGGGGATCCTCAGCCCAAAGCCCCCTCCCCCAGTGGAGAGGAGAGGAAAGGTTTTTTCTTTGCGACCCTGCACACCCATCCCTTGTCTAGAAATTTTCAGGGGTTTTTATTTACATGCATGTTGACTTTCTTCTTTTTTTCGTGCATTAGTTAATGGCCGTATGGCTTGCGACTTTTTGCATGAACAAGGTGCTGCTAGTCGGTGGAAGAAGGCCATTGTTCTTCTTCTCAACCCCCTCAAAAACGGTTGGGGTTTTATTTATGGCCGTCTTTGCGATTGGCGCACCGACAGCCCAAAACTAAAAGGTTCAAATGATGAGAGAACACCACCTTCAGTCTTATGATTGACAATGGTAAAACATTCTGAGGACCATCCTACCCTTATTTGCTAATGGTTTTTGTTTAGTAACCTGGAACAAATATTAAAGGTATGTTATGGTAAGAGGGACAGTTGTTTGGTTTGATCTGTTTTAGAGATTGTGAAGGTGAATGGTATGCGGTGGCGCTTTCTTTCCCATTCGACTGTTAAAACGAGGTTGTTGTAGCATGTGCTAGGAGCGGCAAGGCCAGCAGAAGCTTCTGGAAAAAGTTGGATTGTGACCGTCGCTATCAAAAATGTCTGCTATCCATGTTGTTAACCCGAAAGCCGAAGTGGCCAGAGCAGCACAAGCACTGCAGATAAATATAAGTGCTGCTAAAGGACTTCAGGAGGTCCTCAAAACCAACCTTGGGCCTAAGGGAACAATGAAAATGTAAGTTGAAGGGGCTAGGCCAGTGTTGTTTGGGGTTTGTCCTGGAAGTCAATAAAAGGCTGTAAAAGTTAAGCTTTGGGAACGGTGGACTTGCAGTTATAACATTTATAACTTGCAGTATTTTGTAAGTCATCAAATGGTAAGGAGCGAAACGATTTTGAGAAACTGACAGGGTGCGGTAAAAGTACGGAAGCTTTTTAATTATTTACCGTACAACAGTCGTTACTTTCTACCTGGTAGATAAATGAAATGTTCGAGTTGAAGAAGTGTCTATCTTTTTTCATAAGAATTTTTGTCTTTTATTAGCTCCCATTCAACGGAATTGGACGGTTCAAAGTAGGAGTTGGGGGTTCGGCTGGAATCCGTTAAAGATTATGAATTTGGGACAAAAATTAAAATAACCAATTTTATGTATTTTTCATATTATCAAACAGTAATTTCAGGCATCTTAAGTCCTAATGGAAACCAAAACTACATTTTCAAAATTTTTTTCAACATTAACAGACCTGGTAGCTGGGGAAATAATCAACCATCCATATGAAGATATTTCCCTCTTTGCGGGAGTCACTATAAACTCATTTTGAATGCAAAGTGTGGGTTCTGTTTGTCCAAAGGAAACATATGTCTCTGCTTTGCCAGGAAAATTTATGCTGTAGGATCGTGGTAGTGCTTAAGCAAGATCTCGGTTAGCTGGGAAAATGTTTGTCCAGTGATGTTTTAGCTATTTTCAGTAGTTAAAAATATGCTAGGCAGGAGCCCAGCTGAACGACCTAATTCCTTTAACTTGCCAACATTGGTCAAAAATGTTTTGTTGATGGCCCTTAAATTACGTCAAAATCTAAGCTGAAAATTTGATGCCCTGTGCTTGCAAAGCCAACATGATTTGAATCCACAAATCCTTTTAATTATAGGCTTGTTTCTGGTGCTGGAGATATTAAGCTTACCAAGGATGGCAATGTTTTGCTGCATGAAATGGTTAGTTTTACGTTTCTTTATATATATTTTATTGTGTGCTTGTATGAAAAGTATGGTACATGGCAAGAACTTCTCATTTTAACTATTGCCAAAAATTGTTCTGTGAATATTTTAGGTATGTATACAGTCCAATACACACAAATGGTTGTTAAAATTTTGATCAACTTACACAAGACCCATTTTGTATAACAGGGATTGTCCACATTTGACAACTTCTAGTACTTTTCAACTTCTATCAGAGGAATAAAGGTAATCGAATAAGAGCTTGTGCTTGAATTAATAAGGCAAAATTAAATAACTTTAAAGGTCAGCATACTTCACCCAAATTTATGTTTAATTTCTAGAGTGGGAAAAAATTATGTATAAAGAAGTCAAAATTAAGAAAAACATGGTTTCAAGGAACTTTGTTTGTTATTCCTAAGTTTTGTTATCTTTATTAGTTTTAATTTTGTGTCAAACATCTCAAATTTGAATTTCAAAGTTTTACGAATAATTTTTTATTCTCTATGTGATAATCTTATTTATTTGTGGTTGAAACTGAATTTAGAATTTGTTTTTTGCAGCAAATCCAGCATCCCACTGCTTCATTGATTGCAAGAGTTGCAACAGCCCAGGTATATATGGTGTATTTGATGTATAATAAGTTTCTGTCAACGCCAGGCATACACACGTTTGACATCCTACTATGGCATATGAAAAAGTACCATATATCAAGAAATATATATTACCATTTCAGGTTGTGCTTTCATTTCCCGTGACAAACTGAAAATGGTCTTTAGATTGACCTTTTATCTTGATTTGTCCATGTACCAACTAAATGTTTCCTTGATGACAACTTAAAAAAGGCTGAGTCTGTTATAGTTGGACTCTATTGGAGTTGAAATACACAAAAAGTCTGAAACGGTTGTAATCCTGCTTTGATCAGACATAGCATATACTTTGTGTGCGATTGAGAGGTGATTTGTATCCTAAAGATGCTTTGTTTCGCAAGTGTCAGTATCCAACACATTCTTAAAAGCAGATTGTCTTTGTGATTTTACCAGGGAAAAGGCATGTTTTATAATCTTCTGACTTGATTATCAAGTAATGTATGTAATGAAGTATAGAATCACTGCAGTATTGCAAAATGAACCTGACCAAGGCACTTCCAAAGTTTAATTAACATTGAATGACAACATGAACAATATAAATTTGATAAACAGCATATATTCCTGTTTGACTTTGAATTTATTGTTATCTATGCCCTTAACCCAAAATATGTCAGTAACATTTTTCACCAAAATTGTAACATATTCCTTTTAAACAAGAAATGAATTTATCATCATTTCAATACCTTTAACAATATCCTGTTTTATTCAAATTAGACAGTGCTTGAAGATAGTCAGTTTATGTTAATAGGTTTTTATTCATTCATGTTTCATTCTTATGAGTCATCAGTCTTCAGCTATGTATTTCTTCATGTAATTTTTTCACAGGATGACATAACTGGTGATGGAACAACTTCAAATGTCCTCATTATAGGCGAGCTTCTCAAACAGGTATTTTTTGCCTAGAAATCCTTATTAAAAGTATAATATCCTGTTACCATTGTTTGCCTTTTATGCTTCCCTTGTTGCATCAAATTATAAACAAGCATTTCTACTCCTTAATAAGAATATAATTCTCTGAATCATTAGTATCATAACGCAAGACTTTTTCTAGGTTCAAGCACAGTTTTGAGGTCAATCCTTCCTACAGCTCACCTATAACATATCCTCATTTATAAGGCATAATCTAAGGTTACTTTTTTCGCACAACAGATATTTGACCCTATTTTTTTAAACAGCTACACTTACATTGTAAAAAGTATTGGGACACCTTTGATAAATGAACTATGGTGTTGTGTTGGATTCGCTTTTGCAATAGAAACTTTTCCGATACCAGCAATCTTTTTTCATCCTATGTATCCCTAAAATATGGTTAAAAGCTGAAAAAGTACTTTAACTTTTGAATCATAACTATGAAAGAGTTGCATGGCCTAAAAACAGCAAACTCACACTGCCTTGTCAATTTTTTAGTGATGTCTAAATGAATTCAAGTTTTTAGATTCTTTCGAATAGCAAAAAAATTACAAAGAAAATTACAAACTCAAACTATTAGGTTTCAAATAAAGTTTACTGAATCAACAAATACATTACAGTTTTATGAAATAAATGAATTCACCCAAACTACTTTTAGAACTTCATGACACTAAAGGAGAAGCCACATTACTTGTTGGCAACAATCAATTTTTGCTTTGAGAGAGCATTTTCTTCTTATAAAGCTGGAAAATCTTATTTTAAGTATTTTTATAGCCATGTTTTTGCTTATGCTCCTAGATTTATCTTCTTTTTACTGATAATGTGTAATGTCTGGTATAGATTCAAACCTATTACTTTGCAGTTTTCTTAAGGATGACCTTTCGTTTTTTAAATTGTTTGGCTTCAAAACATCAACAATGTCTTACGAAAATTTCATGGATAAATGCTGATTTACTTATGTAATGAAAAAGATTCTTCAAAATTTGTTGCATAAAATGTTTTTTGAAATTTCAAAGTTTGTCGCAATAAATTTTAAATGTTAATGTATTTTCATTAAATGTTGAAAACTTTTATCTCCTTGTGCTATATCCATTATCAAATCAGCAAATTTTGTATTTGCCAATTTTTAACAAAATTTATTCAATTCCTTTTAGGCTGATCTTTATATTTCTGAGGTTAGTATCATTTGTTTACATTTTATTTCTATTCCATCTGTATATTGTAATCTTTAGAGACAAACTTTGATATTAAAAAAACTTTCATATATATATATATAACGAAATTTTTTATTTTAGCTTTATATTTAATTAGTATTATCAGCTTGAAACATAATTTTTTTGTATCATGCTCATTTGTTCTTATGTTATTAAAAGCTTTACACTTTCATTATGTAAGTAACTGACTGCTGATTAAGGATAGTTTTTTACCTCCACTTTTGACCATTTTAAGAACCTACATCTATTCAGTCTCCTCTGCCAATATCTGCTTTCATCCTTCTATTTTCTTCATCAGAGTTTCATTTGTTGTTTGTCAAATCTTACCCCATTTTTAGCTATACCTTATTTTGGAAGAATGATTGCTTTAATTTTCCTGCTTTTGTATTAACTGGTATTTGGTATTGCTACTTGTAATTTGATTTTTACTTTGTTGTTTTATTATTCTTTAACTTCATTTAGAATTGCATGTATCTCCTTACATTTGTTATTGCTACAGAATCCAATCTGCGCATTTTAGCAAAATTTTTGTTAAGATCATTCTTTGAAGATGAGCATCAACTCTCCATTTTCTCATTGGCTTATAAATTATTTTGTAATGTCTCCTTGCAATGTTTCAAAAGTTATAGAATAGTATTGCATTTACATTATCTTTCATCTGAAGTAATTTGGGGTTGGCTTTTAACCAAAATGTTATTTTGCATTGAATTTCAATAGCTGGCACCTTCTTTCTTTTATTATTCATTGATTATCTGTGGGTAATTTTTTACACCATTGAATGAAGGTAGAATTAGATATGACCATGTATCTCAACCATGTATCACAACTATGTGTCAACTTAATGTTTGTTTATGAGTAAATAATCTAACAAGACATTTGGCTTTTACAGGGACTGCATCCTAGACTTGTGACAGAAGGATTTGAACTAGCAAAAGGAAAAGCACTAGAGGTATGCTTCTTTTCTTATAAACTGAATTTATAATATTCCAGTCTAGAATTTTTTGATAATATGAGTGAAGTACTGAAGTCAACTATTCATTACTAAAACCCTTAACAAAATACAGCTTATTTTCGATTCTTAATTTATGGACAGAGATGTTTTTTTGATTAGTTAATCTGAATACAATTGTTGGTAGATGACTTAAAATGAAAGTACAGATAAATTTTATGACAATTAAAGCATTTTGGTAAATACAATGAACTGTAGTTTTTGCAATATTTAAAAAGGCAAGCTATAGGAAACGTAAAGGTATTATATATTTGAAAACATTTTGTTTTCTTTCCATGAAGTCTGTTTTACATATATTCAAAGTTGTAGAGATAGACATGACTTCTGCATGTACTCTTCTGCGTGTATCTCTTCATGCAAACTGACTTCTGCATGTACTCGCCATTCACATTATAAACGCCTACTGACAATTATTTTCAAAATTTCAATCTATGAAAGTGAGTGTCAATCAAAGATGAATTGGTTTTAAAGTAAAGGGGAATAGATATGTGGTAGAATGTAGAATAATGAAGAGCGAAGTTTCAAAACAACGAGAAGCTTTTTCTTTAAGATACCTGTTGAAAACTAAAGCTGATGTACTATATTTTGGCTTGTTAGGCACACAGCCAAAATATAGCATTTATATTTATGGTTATTCCTTTTTTGTAGTCTTTCTTTTCAAATGAAATACAAAATGTAAAGTGCCAATGTTAACTGTAAAAAGTAACGGTCTGACTCATTGATGTTATTGTGGAAATGTAGCGTCAATTGGAACTCCTTATATGTGAGAAGGGCTATTTTCATAAGCACCAAGATATCATTTTGGTGATAACTTGTGCTTTGTTCAAATTGGTATTCGTTACAAACTTGATGGTTCTAATTCCAATACAGGTCTTAAGTTTTCCGACATTACTCTACTTGTCTTCTTTTACACCAAGTTTTCAAATTTTACAACCGGTCAACGATATTTCTTTTTCCAATAGATTTTAGAAAGTATAAAAGTGCAGAGCAAAATGGATAGAGACACACTAATAAATGTTGCAAGAACATCACTCAGGACAAAACTCACCAAGGATATCGCAGATCATCTAACAGAGGTAAATTACTTGCCAAATACGTCAGCCAGTCCCACAACTAATAAGAATATTTAGTTTTTCATTTCTTTGAATGTTCGTTTGCATGTTTTTTAAGGATCATTTTGACAATTTCAGTGTTCCTTTATATATATATATATATATATAATATATACTATATATACTATATATATATATATATAAATATATATCATATATATATATTATATCATATGGATAACTAAAAAACAACTATTGTGACACAACTCTGCCATTTCAGTGATAAGACAATCATCAGGTCAAATCATCAGTATTACACCTATTGATTGTTACACATGAAACTCAGAGCTTGTGTTCACAATAGTCACGTTTTTTTAGTCATCATCTAATGCCTCGGTAAGTGAGCACCTAGACAGCAATATTATAATTAATAAATACTATATATATAGTATAATATACTATATATATATATATACATCAGCCTTGCCCGAAAGGCCGCTCGATCGACGGCGCGCGCCTTAGATGCCCACCCAAAGAAGCCTTGGAGAGCGATTTATGAGAGCCCCTCAAAGCGTAAAACAATTACCACGAACAAAATAAATTTCTTGGCTTTTGTCTTAATTAACTTTGATCTAAGCATAAAACCAATCGTTCCCAATAGACCGCAATTTATGTATTTGCCGTAGAGTACCCCTGAGAAAAAAATTTCAGCAAATTCAATCGCTTGGTTTCGATACATTTAATCTTAATAACCCTCTCATTAACCACCAGACACAGCCCATCAAGAGTATTCTCCACGTCAGATTTATTTTGATTGCCGAGCAAGCGTAATCTTTGTGAAGTATTATTTTCTTTGCTCTTATAATTTCAAATCACCTGGCAACATCAGAGATCACATTTCCGTCCAAATTACCGCATTGCTTTTCAGTTTTCAATTTGTTTTCGCAGATCATAGATGTTCTAGTGGTCTTATAGAATACAATAGCATAAAACAGGGAAACAAAGTAATGTCGACTTAAAGCCCATTGCCTTTCCTATATTTCTATATTTGTATTAACACATTAGGTTCTGCATGTTTTGTTTTTCAATCCCTTATGGTGCTTTTGTTCAGCACCATTGGAATTTCTTATTAAAACTCTCCCAAGCTTTCGATAAAAGTTCTCGATTTTCCACAGCTCGTTGAAGGTGCTCTCAAGTATTTTTTTTTAATGCAAATCTAAGCGCCCTAAGAAGTTTCTAATGGCTTTTATGGGAGCGCACCTTTATTTGCTTAGGCAATGCCTGATACATATATATATATACTTTAAGGCCAGACCTTTTTTCAAATTGGAAATAGCTAACTGTGGCTAAACTGCTTTACAAAAGAACCTCACTCTGGGCAATATCTTAAAAAAATGATACATAAATACCACACAATTTGTTTCAATGCTTCAAATGTTTAGAAAAATAATTTATGACATTCTGTCTATGCCAATGACTGCCAGAGCAAAGTCTGACAAGATTGGATGTGAATCACACCTTGTCACTACCACTGAGCATACAAATTTATTATTTACTTTTTGCCTTAAACCTGTTTTTTCTGTTATGTAGTGCAAATCAGGTGCCTATGCTCTGTTGCTTCCCTTCTATATTTGTTGGACTTGTCCTAGCGCATTAGACAAATATTACTGTAATCATGAGAGTAGTGCGAAATCTGCTACTCTATGGACCGATAACCTGCCATCAAACTTTCACATATGGAAAATGACCCACATTCAAACCCGAGCAAGTGTCACTCACCGACGATTGAGAGCAACTTGCATTATCTCGTGTAACGCGTGGTACACCCACTATGCGTCCTGCATATAATAAAATCTTGAGTCTACTCGACCGCGACCACCTAGTTGTTCACGTACATGTCCTCTCTTAATTACTCTCGACTTCTCGCCTGCTTCGCCCTAGGATACCATACCATCTGGTGCGACATCTATATATATATATATCGCTATATACCAAGCCATGCCAAAGTTATCTGTTCCACGCTCGGTCCATCTAGTGCCGCTTCGCTACAACAAAACCCTCAAACCGCGAGTAGTCAGACGAGACACCCCAATATGGTCTATATCGCGCGACTCGATTGAACAACTATATGACACAGACGCGTACTGAACTACAGCAAACACAGCATATATGCGAGTATGATGTGAAGAAATAACCTTTATAGACCTTACACATATCAAGAGAATAACTTTCGGTAAGTGAGAAATACTGCTCTATATGTCCAAACCACTGAGAGAGCGCCCCCTCTACGGTGCCCATTAAGTGCCTAGCGCTTCACTTCACGATGAGAGCACACCCCCCAATCATGAACTACCCCAAAGTCGGCTAACTGCTGAGCATAACTCTCTCATATCTAGTCCACGTTATATACGTGCGCTAGTGCTCGTGAGTGCGCGCCTCACCCATTCACTGTGTAGAGAGTCGCTCGCCGAAGCATGTCCTAGGCGTATCATTCAGAAACGTAGTCTCTCTTAAGTTATTATTAATAAATTTTCTTTAACATTTAGATTAGTAAAAGGGCGTGACTGACCATGAGGCAAGCACTCTATATGAGAAAGAAAGTCGAAGATGAGCTTCATTCGTCACATGCAATCGTTCACTCGTCTGAATACGAAAAAGTTAGGGGTTACTTTACTGAAAGTCTTAGTTGTAAAAGCCCATGCGAGAGCGTTACTCGTGATATATATCGTATGAGTCGCGATCACAATTGAGAGCCCTCCCGCGCTACTTATTCACAACATTCGTACCCGTGAGACCCACCAATCTGTTCGAAAATCCTAAAAACAGCTAACACGTGCGACAGACTCGTTCACTCCGATTCAATGCGACAGTTAGAATGTCATGACCTGATAATAACACCGAGAATCTATCTAATATATGCACACTTCATGTATATCACCACTACCCACCCTTGTCAATTAGGCAAATACACTTGTGAGCCGCCAGACCGCGTTAGCAATAATCAAGCCGCTGTAGCTTCCTCGTAACTGCGCAAATATAAGTTTTGACATATAGTTAAATGTGAGCAGAAAAGTGAGGTAACAGAAATAATTGTGCACAGAAAATGAACGGTGAAGACTTTGGTCCTTTGCCCATTCTTGATAGTGATTGACTGGAAAAACTGAATATTTAGATTGACGACGGATATCACTTAATTGATCACGGGGTAATGATGATTCAGTTTATAATTCAGAATTATGATAAACAATATGGTATCAATTTTATTTTGTTTTAAAGTTATACTCTTTAGATAACCCAAGACGTATCTTTCTCTGCTACCAGATATAATACGCGTTTCTTTATTTCAAATCAATCAGATGCCCACTTCATATTTTACACATCATACTTATATAAATTGAGAGAGCGAAGCATCTCTCCGATAAGTCCATGTTACCCCCCACACCCCCAGCGTCACTCCAAGTGGAGACTGCACAGCCACTGACAACCGCACGTAGCTCAGAGAGAACTAACAGACACACAAAGCACCACTCACACATGATCCCTATGACATACTGCCCACCTAAAGTTCTCGAAGAACAAAAAAGCCATCGTTAGATAACAACCTACGTTAATATGAACCACACACCAGTAAAAATTCACACACAGCAGTTTATATCCCCGTATTTAAAATCAGCTGTTTTTTATTTTTTCAGCTTCAAGATTTCAAGTTCTTCCCTCTCCATTTCTTTTCCCCCTTCCTTTCCCCTCATACTTAAATTCCTTCCCTCTCCTCTCTTTTCTCTTCGACCCTATTTTCCCCCCTTCTCCTTTCTTTTCCCCTTCCTTTCCCCTCTTTCCCCTTCTTTCCCCTTATCCATTTCCCCGTCCTCCCCTATCCTTCCCTTCCGCTCCCCTTCTTTCCTCAATCCCTGTCTTCTCCACTTTTCTTCTTCTCTTCTCTTTCAGCAATGTTCTCTTTTCTTCTCATCCTTGCTTTTATCCTCTCCATTATGTCTATTCATGTATCTTTTTTTCTTTACTTTCCTCCCTTTTCTTCTAATACCCCTCATTTCTTCCCTTTACCACACTTCTTCTTCTATTAACTTGCCGTTGCTTTTCGACTTGTTACGATGCCAATTATTTTTCAAGCTTTAAATATAATTTATCCCTTAATTTCTATACTGAAATTAATTTTAAAAAATAATGAATGTTTCGGAATCTTCAATAGCAATAAAATAAAAATAATAATTGATTTTTAACAACGAACGTCCACATGACCTTTGATGTCGTCTTTGATTGATCCATGAACGACAAGCCTATTTATAACCTATGATGAATTATTATTTTGCTGGTTCCCAG